TCCCTGGGAAACATTTTTTAAGAGATCACTTATTTTTATTTTATGTGTATGTGTGAGTGCCTGCATATATGAAGGGATACCACGTGTGTCCCTGTGGAAGACAGAAAAGGGTTTCAGATTCCCTAAAACTGGAGTTATGGATGGTTGTTAGCCACCACATAGGTGCTGGGAACCAAACCTGGGCCTCTGCAAGAACAGCAAATGCTTTTAACCACTGAGCCATTACTTCAGTCTCGCTAGCAAACATTAAAAAAATTATTTATTATATTTATTTTATGTGCATGAGTATTTTGCCTGTGTGCATGTAAGTGCACCCATGTCATGCAATGCCCACAGAGGCCAGAAGAGGGTGTTGGATCCCCTGGAACTGGAGTTACAGAAGGCTGTTGGCCACCATGTGGGCGCTAAGAATTGAATCTAGCTCCTCTGCAAGAGGAGCCAGTGCTCTTAACCGCTAAGCCATCTCTCCAACCCCCTTGGTAAACATTTTTATAGAATAAGTTTGCAATGTGATTTCTAATATTTTATTACAATGTACCTGAACAATCTAATGTTTCTGAAAATATGGGGGCATTAATATATATAAGCAGTTCCCTACCCTTTACTGTATGTTCTATATTACAAAATTTTACATCAAATACCTCAATCTCACATTATCATGAGGATAAGAAACATCAATGTTAAGTATCTCAATGGTACACGATTATTCTGTAATATGACTTTTCTAAAATTTAGAAAACCACAACTTCTGAATTTTAAAAAGAATTCTAAGGGCAGAGTGCTTACCTAACATGCACAAGACCCTGGGTTCAATCCCCAGCACAGCATTAATCAGGTGTACATGTCTACAACCCCAGCACTTGGGGGGGGTGGGGGGAAGGCAGGGGGATCAAAGTTTAAAGTCAGCTTAGATATATGAGACCTTGTCACAAAAGACAAAAAAATACTGTAATAGCGAGTGACAACTACAGGCAGGTCACATAGTTTCAACTCTGAGGATGTGGCTGCAGCCCCAGCAATATAATACAGAGAACATTTCTATAAAAACTGCCTTAAAAGAACTGAGATGGCACAAAAGGAGACTGATGTCACACAGCACCCAGGGCAGACTTTCTAAGGGGAAAATCTTTCGAAGGACAATTTTCTCAATTCTCCCAAAGACAATACAAAGGTAGTGTATAATACACAGTTCATAAGATACTCTATTATTAGGGTATATGGCATTATTCTCATGGAAATGGTTGGAGGTGTGAAGTGGTAGATTGTAAGCTAATGCTTTCTAAACACTATCAGTGATATTTCTTTTCCTGCCAGTACAAGTTAATGATTTCTGAGGGCTGAGTTTCAGAAAATCCATACTTATCAATGCAAAGTAATTTCTTCCAAGTGAATTCTCTGTAAAACTGTATACTTTCCCTAATTCTCCTTGATTCTTCAATTCCTGTCACTGTCAATGACAATTCTAAAACTTGAATGTGCATCAGCACCATCAGGAATGTTAAAACAGAGTGCTGTGCGCTATCCTTGAAGATTCTGATTCCACAGGTGGAATGGGGAAGGAGCCAAGAATTCATACTTCTAACAGCATCATGAAAACAAGCACCTTAAATAAAATGTATATAGTTAATCACCCTCACCCTTTCCTTCCTGTGTCTCAAGTTTAGAGAGTAGTATAGGTAATCTTTTATTCTCAAAACCTTCTGAAAGGCAAATTCAGGTTTCTATTTTTAACCTTTACATAAACTAAAGGTTCTGATTGTATGGTTTATGTGGTGCTTCTAACAGCATCATGAAAACAAGCACCTTAAATAAAATGTATATAGTTAATCACCCTCACCCTTTCCTTCCTGTGTCTCAAGTTTAGAGAGTAGTATAGGTAATCTTTTATTCTCAAAACCTTCTGAAAGGCAAATTCAGGTTTCTATTTTTAACCTTTACATAAACTAAAGGTTCTGATTGTATGGTTTATGTGGTGCTGACACATACCTTTAATCCCAGCACTTGGCCAGGACTTGGGAGGCTGAAGCAGGAAAGTGATGTCAGTCCAGGCCAGCATGGGCTGCAAAGTGAGCTTGAGGCTAGCCTAGAATAAACAGAAAAAAAAAAAAAAAAAAAAAAAAAAAAAAAAAAAAGAAAAAGAAAGAAAAAAAGAGAAAAGCCTTGGAATGACTTGTTCTGCATGTTAAGACACACTTTTTGAGTATTTGTGTGTGTGTTAAGGACAGAATTGGAATTAGTTTTTGTACCCACTCACTGTTTTCATGTTCATTCATGTGAGATGGGCTCTTAATCTCAAATGCCATCAATGATTCCCTCCCAAACATATTTTCTTTGCCAAAGCTCTTTCAATATCTTTGTGTTCCATAAGGAGAAGAGCCTCTATTGGTGCCACCTTTTGTTTTTTGTTGAAATTAACTTTAGTGAGCCCAAGTATCTACTAACTTGCAAGGGAAATAGAGATAGGAGGGGCTGAAAGTAGCAGCAGGGAGCTGAACCCCAAGACAGCTTGCCCAGAGGATGTAATGCTTGTTCAAGGCCAGAAACCTCAAGGTCTTGGGGGATTTAAAACCAACAAACAACAACAACAACAACAACAACAACCACAACAACAACAAACGTCTACATAGTAAGTTCCAGGACAGCTGGGGCTACAGGGAGACCCTGTCTCAAAAAGACCAGAAACAAAACAAAAAGAAAAAAACAAACAAAAACAACAACAACAACAACAACAACAAACCCCACAAGTATAGGCAAAGGTGAATGCTTTCACTTTTTTTTAATTGTTGAAGTAAAAAATAATACCATTAGATGAAAAAAATAAGATAGTTTTCCAGAGCCTCTAAGAATGGACCTGCATTAAGTTTTAGATGTTTCCCTTGAACACTGTGGTTTATTTTACAAGAAGTCTTCTGGAATATTTCTGCCCTTCCTCTCTAGTCCTTTCTTTAAAATCCATCCTAGTGACCCTTCTTTGAGAAGCTCATGCTCACATCCCTGGTTGTATCTTTCTTTCTGAACACATTTCTCTTAACCCTTGTGCTTAAAATTTATATGAAAAATCTCTTAATATACTCTAACTCCGCTTTTAAAAAAATCCATCCTAAAAGTGGCTCCATTTAAACCATGATCCTAAAACATTTATTTAGCTATTGTTCCACACCCTGCCATAGCAGCCTACAGGACAAACAAGGGACACAATATCAGTTTATCAAGTTAAATTTAATCTGACAAAATTTCCATTTGTAAGTCAGGGGTGGTGGTCTACACCTTTAAACCTTTAATCCCAGCACTCAGGAGGCAGAGGCAGGTGGATATCTGGCAAGGGAGTGAGCCAGGGCTACACAGTGAGACCTTATCTCAAGCAACCCAAAAACAAACAAAAAAATCCAACTTCAGTTTGATAGTTCTCACAAATTTTTAAATTTCAGGAATAAAAAGAAATGATAGTACAAATGGTTTTTCTTCTAAAATAATTTTCCAGAAATTATTCTTTTAGTTTCTATTTAGTTTTAGTTTCTTTTTAGAAATTATTTTTTATTTATTTTGATTTTATGTGTTTGAGTATTTTGCCTGCATGAGGGGCACCCTTGAGTGAAATGCCTGGAGAGGCCAAAAGAGGGCAGAAGATCCCCTGGAACTGGAGTTAAGGATGGTTGTTAGCTACCATGTGGGTGCTGGAAACTGAACCTGGATCCTCTTCAACCACAGCTAGTGCTCTTAACCACTGAGTCATCTCTCTAGCCCCATAACAATCAGTTTCTCAAACTAAAATCTTAAAGACAATCTTGAGAGCCTTAACTTAATTCAGCTATTTAAATCATTAAGGGCAGAAATACACCTTTATTTGAGCATGTACAGGTTGGCAAGATGGCTCAAAGGGTTAAAGGACTTGAAGCCAAGCCTGATGACCCGAGTTCTGTCTCTAGAACCCACACGTTGGAAGGAGGAAACCAACTTCAACAAGTTATCCTCTGACCTCCACATATACTATGGTGCAAGTATTTCCCCTCCCCCAACATAAATTAATAAATGTAATTTTAAAGAAGCCACAGAAATGCTCACTGGGAAAATTATAAAAATTTCACACATATATCAATGTTGAATCCAGAGACTTTTATTACATATTCTAACAGCTACTAGGTACACAACATTTTTATACTGAATAGGTAAATGAATGAAATAAAAAAAGTTCAGAAAGCAAGAACAAATAAAACTCAGCCTTAATGCAGATTTTGAAGTAAAATCAAATGGAAATATGTCTCTATATTTTGAAGTTTAAAAATTCTTTAATTTAATTTTGTCATTTCTGACAGCCTGGAATAAAACAGATCTACTTCAGGACAAACCTGGCACAGCCTTTCATTCTTTATGGATCCTTGAGTAAGAAGTAAAGATTGCTACATAATGCATTTTGTCTTGCATGATTATGTGTACGCATACCTGCAACAGCTGGTGCTCAGGTAGGGGAGGCAGCATGATCAGGAGTTCAGGCCAGTTACATAGTGAGTTTGAAGTGGACTGGGCTACATAAACACCCTGTCTTTAAAACAGAAGAAAAGCTACTTATGTTTCTAAGAACTGTGCTCTTTAATGAATTATAATTCCTGTGACCACGTTTAAAAAGGGAAGATAGGAGCCAAAAAGCTAATGGCAGAAGACACCAAGTTACTGGGATAAGAAATGTCAACATTATATAACATATTTTTTTTCACTACTTTTTGAAAAGTTCTCTTTCCTACTCAGCCTGAGGAAAATATGAAGTAAAAGACAAAGGAATTAGAAACTCTTATGTATGTTTGCAATAATTCCTGCTCAGTCATACACATGGTAATGGTTCTTCACTCAGACATAACAGTTCAATCATCTCTCACTGTTAAGTCAGTTTGAGTTAAAGTAAGCTACTTTCAAGGTTATTAATGCCAAATGTTTTAAAAGGCAATAACCAAGACACCCCTGATCTTCATTTCCATGGACAAACTCGGAATGGGTAAAATACTTACTCATGTAACGGAAAGTCTCTTCAGCAAGGACTGGAGAGAGGGCATCAGATGCATTCTGCTGCTGGTGTGAAGACTGTGCCCAGTCTTGATTTTCATACAGAAAGAGAGAGTCTACTCTTAGCTTATATTGTGGCAGCTGTTCTTCTAGCAGGTTCACCAGCTCAACTTCAGGGAGGTCCTCATTGGAGCAGACATCTGAAAGGAGGGGCCATGAAAATGAATCCAGTGTAGTTCAATTTACTAGCTACAGTGAAATTAGCTTTTTGAAAGTAAAGAAACCAAAGAAATGTTAGACAAGATTATTTCTCCACTGATTTTTATTATTCTAGTACTATAGTTAGTCTTTTTTATTTCTTTAAAAAGAGAACTTTTAAAGTAGAGTATCATACAACAAATTTACACACTGTTTAAAATACATTGATTAGTAAATATAATAATGTTTTTAAAGTTTAAAATGAATTGAAGCAAGTTTCTTATTTTCTCCCTTCAATCTACTTACATAGAACCCAAGTACCTCAGTTCATATGCTAGGGGTGGGAGTGAGGGACATGAAACAGAGAGCAGAAAAAAAAATTTATAAGGGATAAAAATTATATTTTATTGCCAGGCATGGTGGTGCACGCCTTTAATCCTAGCACTCGGGAGACAGAGGCAGGCGGATCCCTGTGAGTTCAAGGCCAGCCTAGTCTACATAGTGAGTTC